TTCTTTTTCTAAAATTATTTTATTTATTTATTTATTTGAAAGTCAGAGTTACAGAGAGAGAGAGAGAGAGAGAGAGAGAGAGAGAAAGACCTTTTCCATCTGCTGGTTTATTCCCCAGATGGCTACAACTGCCAGGGCTGGGCCAGGCTGGAGCCAGGAGCCAGGAGATTCATCAGGGTCTCCTACGTGGGTGGGAGGGGCCCAAACACTTGGACTATCTTCTGATGCTTTTTTCAGGCCATTGGCAAGGAGCACGATTAAAAGTGGAGCAGCCATGGGGCCAGCGCAGTGGTGTAGCAGGTAAAGCCACTGCCTGCAGTGCCACCATCCCATATGGGCACTGGTTTGAGTCCCAGCTGCTCTACTTCCAATCCAGCTCTCTGCTATAGCTTGAGAAAGCAGTAGAGGATGGTCCAAGTCCTTGGGCCCCTGTACCCACATGGGAGACCTGGAGGAGACTTCAGGCTCCTAGCTTCAGATCGGCACAGCTCCGGCTGTTGTGGCCATTTTGGGAGTGAACCAGCACATGGGACTGAACCAACTTCTCTCTCTTTCTGCCTCTGCTTCTCTGTAGCTCTGCCTTTCAAATAAATAAATTTAAAAAAAAAAAAAAAAAGTGGAGCAGCCAGGACATGCACAAACTAGTGCCCATATGGGGTGCTGGAGTTGCAGGCAGCAGCTTTACCGACTATGCCACAGCGCCAGCCCCACTGCTCCACTTCTGATCTAGCTCCCTGCTAATGTACCTAGGAAATCAGTGGAAAACAGCCTAAATATCCAGGCCTGTGGCACCTGGGATACCCAGATAGAGTTCCAGGCTCCTGGCTTCAGCCTGGGTAGTGGTTGTGGCGATTTGGGGAATGAACCAGCGGACAAAGATCTGTGTCTCTGCCTTTCTTATAAATAAATAAAATCTTAATTTTTTTAAAGACAAAGAGAGAAAGTATTAAAACCACAGACATAGACTCTTATTTCTGGCAACATGAGTAAGAGGAAGGGCTCTTCCATTAAACTGTAACCAGATCCTGGATAAATTGTAGCAAACATAATTTTTAGCACATTGCTGGGTTTATTAGAAAGTAAGGGAGGGCTGGCACCGTGGCTCACTTGGTTAATCCTCCGCCTGCGGTGCCGGCACCCCATATGGGCACCAGGTTCTAGTTCTGGTTGCTCCTCTTCCAGTCCTTGGGCCCCCGCACCACATGGGAGACCAGGAGGAAGCACCTGGCTCCTGGCTTCAGATCGGTGCAGCGCCAGCCGTAGCAGCCATTTGGAGAGTGAACCAATAGAAGGAAGACCTTTGTTTCTCTCTCTGTCTATAACTCTATCTGTCAAATAAAAAAAAAAAAGTAAGTGAAATCACTGAAAGAAAAAAAGTAGCTGAAATCTATATAAAGATTATGCAGAGATCTATATGAAGGAAGAGTAGTATGCAGTAGTAGAAGCAGGTTGGCTCTGAGGACAGACGCCACCATCAGCGCTGTGAAGAGTCTAACCCCTGGCCAGAGGAAGTGTTCGGCATGGCAGCTGAGACAGGCTTTGGATGTGTGCACCTCACCTCACCTCAGAGTCTAGCTTTAAATCTCAGCTCTGCTCCAGTTCCAGCTTCCTGCTGGGAGACAGCAGATAAGGGCTCAAGTACTTGGGTCCTGGCCTCCCACTATGGAAACCTGGATTGAGTTCCTGGCCCCTGGCTTGAGTCTGGTACAGCCCTGGCTGTCGCAGGCATTTGGATGGTGACCCAGTGGATGGGAATGCTCTGTCTCTCTGTGCCCTTCAAACAAACTTGGGTCTAGCCCAGGAACGTATGGAAAGGTCTGACTCTTGAAGGGGCTAACACAGTCTCAGGTCAGAAGGACCCTGGCAGAAGCAGAGGGAAGTACCCTTGGTTTAGGTCCCAGCAATTTCCTGACATTCAGTTTAACAAAGTAAAGAGTTCAAAATACACAAGCTACTATGGGCAGGAGTCAGCAGAAAAGAGATTTAGTCACAGAATATAAAATAATACTCCTGACAAATTTCAAAGAAATTCGGCAACATAAGGGTGGGTGTTGTTGGTGCAGCAGCTTAAGCTGCTGCTTGGGACTCTTGCATCCCACATGGGAGTACTGGTTCAGGTCCTGCTACCTCCACTTCTGATCCAGCTTTCTGCTAACACATCCTGGGAGGTGGGCCCCTGCCACCGATGTGGGAGACCCAGATGGAGTTCTGGGCTCCTGACCCAGCCCTGGCTGTTGGAGATGTTTGGGGAGTGAACCACCAGGTGGAAGATCTCTGTCTTTCTGTTGCTCTACCTTTCAAATAATTGAAAATAAATAAACATTAAAAAAAATCAGGGTGGGTGCAGCATTGTGGTACAGTAGATAAAAGCTGCCACCTATGAAGCTGGTATCCCCTGTAGGGGCTGGTTTGTCTCCTAGCTGTTCTGCTTCTGACTCAGTTCCCTGCTGGTGGCCTGGGAAGAGCAGTAGAGGATGATGGCCCGAATGTTTGGGCCCCTGACATCCATATGGGAGACCTGGATGAAGCTCCTGGCTCCTGGCTATGACCTGGCCCAGCCCTAGCTATTGTGACCATCTGGGGAGGGAACCAGCAGATGGAGGATATCTCTCTCTCTGTCCTTCTCTCTAATTCTGACTTTCAAATTAGTAAATAAATCTTTCTAAAAAATGGTATAATAGATACCACATTGAATACAAATAAATTTAAAATCACTATCAAAAAGATAATTTTTAAAATCTCCAGACAGTTATAAAACTTTTCTAAATTTATGAGTTAAAAATGCCACAAGGGTAAATTCAAATATTTTTAGGATAATTAAAACATTGTACAATACATAAAAAATTCTAGAATATAAAGAAGGTTCTTGAAAATTTAAAATATGAAAGAAGACAGCTTGCAAATTAAACATAAAGAATGCAGAATTGATACTAAAGATAAAATCCATAATTAATGAGGTGGAAAAAAACACATAAGGGAGAGGATCAACAAAGCCCAAAATAGTATCTGAAAATACACAAGTAAAATAAACAAATTTCTGGTAAAATGGCTCAAAGAATAAAAAAGAGAAAGCACAAGTAAACAGTAGGAATGAAAAGTATGACTACCCAGAGAGCAGAGGTAAAAAAGAAAATAAATATATGGACTTCATGTAAAGAAACAAAGAAAAACCATGACGCCAGAATCCTAAAGAAGCACTTTACCTAAACTGACTCAGGAAGAAACAGAAAGCCCAAACAGTCCACGATTTAAAGAAATTTTAACAAATTAATTACAAAAGCTTCCACAAAGAAACACTGAGCTCAGGTAGCTTTGCCAAACTCAAGTGTTTTACCAAACTTTCACAGGACACTTCATTTTAATCTCATCCCATCTCTTCCAGAGAAGCCAAGAGGAATCTGCCACTCAGAAGGTGTAAGGACCAAAAGAACCTTACAGAAACCTCTTTAGAAATCCTACTGAGCACAAAGGCACTAACATACCCAAGAATGTTCATAGCAGCATTGTCCATAACAGCCAAGCACTGGGAGCGGCCCAGATATCCAGTGGTAGGTGCATGGATAACTTGTGGCTCATGTACTTGGTGGAGCAGTATACAGATGAAAAGAATGAAGCACAGCTTTCAGTAACAACGTGAATGAATCTTAGAAACAATGTAGAGAGAAAAATGCAAACTGTAGGGGACAGTTAAGAGTATAATGTTCTTGTAAAGCTAAAAAAACAAGTGATGCTAAGTACATTTTAAAAGAATATATACATATGTGATAATATATATAGCAGTTAATAAACAAAAAATTAAGGACAGCGGTTACCTCTAAGAAGAGGCATGGGGATAGGATAGGGAGGAACGCAAATAAACTCAATGGTATTTCTAATGCTTTAATGTGTAAATTGAGTGATGAGCCATAGGTACTCATTTTATTATGCTTTATAATTTATACACATTACATATTCTTTATAGATATCAAATATTACATATTATAATTTTAAAAACTTTGCTGTGGTGGAAATTCATGAAGTCTCCCTGAAAGAAAAATCTGTATTTCTTGGGAAGAACCAAGATTCCCTGACAGAAGCTACCCTATGTAGAAGACGAAGTGGGTCCTCAATAAGTATCGGTTCACTGCTTTCCCCAAGGATACACCTGGTGGGGGGCTGGATTCCCTTCCCATCGGTGCTCCCTGAGGTGCAGAACTGTCTCCTTCCATATACTCCTAGTCCAAAGCCCACTTGCTGGCCAAGTCCTGTTACATGTGTGACAGGATACTGACACCTGGTGGAAACACAATGAATTTAGCAAAATGACTAGTTGGTCAAAGTGGCAATAGGGTGAAAGGTAAGGGAAGCAGGAATGTGGTGAATGTGAAAATTCTGAATGCAGAAAAGGAGGGAGCTCCATTTCTGAGATGTAGGTGAAAAGAGATTGTCATCTCAAGGAGACTGAAGAGAGTCCCTCAAGGACAGCGAACGCCTGCTCCTGCCTTCTGAGACCAGAACAAGAGGCGAGGTTACAGCTGCAGGAAGGGAAGCGCAGCCCTGAGGGCGAAGGGAAGCAGGTGCTCACCTCAGCCTAGCAAGCTAGCACTTGTACCTCCTGGGAGTAGCTGGGGGGCCGCTGCTTCCCTGTAACTGCCCCATGTTCCCACTCAGGCCATCTGCATACTTCTCAGGAGGCTGCGCCCCCTTTCCCTAAAGGAGCAGTCCACATTATAAAACAGGCCGATTCGCACACATCGTGGCTGCAGTGATTGCTCAGCTGTGGCGTGTGACCCACGTGCAGGGCTTTTTGCTAGGACTAGAGGGAACAAAGAAGCCTTCTCCTTTTTTGGTTGACATGGAGGGAATATGTAATCCTGGGAGTACTGGCAGCCACAAGGTAGCTACAGAAAGAGCAGTGAGAAAACAAATCAGGTATTTAGGGACACGGTCAGCCACTGAATCAAACGTCACTTGGAGCCAGCACTCCCTCTGGCCTTTCCAGGTACGTGAGCCAGTAAGTCTTTTTTTTTTTTTTTTAACTTTTATTTTAACCCAGTTTGAGTTAGGTTTTCTGTGATTTAAAACCAGAAGATGCCCTAACCTATACATTCATTATACTTACCCATCCCTATCTTCCCACAGGATAGCACAGGGGTCCAGGTAAGAGGTCACTATGGATTTATTGGTTACACTATAAAGTCAAGGTTTTGAGCTGGGAAGGCCAGAGGTGGCAGCCAGGCAGTGTGTGAGACTGGGTGATGCCGCTGTCCATGAGAGGAGAATGGACTCCCTTCAGGGCAGAGCAGCCACACGAGAAGCAAGTGCAGAGAAGGGCCTCTACCAGGCGGACAGGCAGAGCTCACGGAAGGACAGGAACTCCTCCCCGCACAGCCGTCATGGGGGTGCCTCTTTGGGGTCTTTACGCTCACGGGCCAGGGAGGCTTGGAGCCCGTGCCCCCTGAAGTCTTTAGTGCCCTGTGCGGCGGTGCCTGCTTCTGCCTTCCCCAGCTGAAGAGCCTCCTTTTGGCTCCTGCTGCCCTTGATGACACTGACCTTTGGGGCAGCGAGGGGAGTTTTTTCTTCCGCTTCTTTGGCATGCCGAGAGCTGGGGCCCCTTCCTGCTCTGGACACAGTGCCATCTTCCTGACCGGGGGCAAGCGCTGCGCGCTTCTCGGCCCCTCCCCCTGGCCCCGGCCTCTCTGACCCTGACCCTGCCACGAAGCTGCTTTCCCTTCGGGAGCCCCACGTTTCCCACGGTGACGCCGAGGCCTGGGCAGAGTCCACGGCAGCTGCTGACTTGTCGGGGGTCGAATTCCTTTCCCCACTTCCACCTGACTTCTTCCGAGGGCGCCCCCGCTTCCTTCTGGCATCGCTTGCTGTATCCTCCATATCCTGCTTTGCTGCTTTAGCTGGTGGGTCCTGCCCACTGGCCTCACTCACGGGTACCTCAGCTGTCCTCTTGCCACTCTTGTCATGGGCTCCGGGGTCACCATGACCCATGACTACCTCTCTGTGCTCTGTGCCCCAGGCCTGAGTGAGTCCCACGGAAGGAGCCTGCCCAGGCCCAGGCGCGGGCAGAGCAGGAACAGCTGGCAAGATCATATTAATGATGGGCACAGCTGCCTGGGGTCCCCCAGGCCTACTGGGCAGGGGCAGTGTAGCCACTTTCAGGGTGCCTGAAGGAAGCTTGGGGGCCAGGATGGGCGAAGAGACTCGGATTGGAGGAATAAGTGAGCGAGGGGCCCGGGGAAGGAGCATAGGCAGCCGGGCCACCAGGGCATTAACCTGAGGGTTATTGGCTGCTGGGGCCGAGCTCTCAACTACATTCTTCTTCCGCTCTCCACGTCCCGCAGCCCCAGCCCGGGCTTCCAGCTCCTTGGGAGGCTAAAAAGAGAAAACAAGATCATGGTAAGGCACGAAGACTGAATAGCAGAGCCAACACGGGTGGGTGCTGGAAGCAAACATGGGTTGCAGCCTCCAGGGGAAGGGTATGCCAAGCCTCCAGCCCCTGGAAGCCCCATCCATCGCCTCACCTGGGCTGCTTTCTCTGGTTTCTTATGGCCTCCACTCTCCAGGTGCTCTACACCATTCTTGGACTTCGAAGACCGTTCCCTAGGGGCATGCTCCTCTTCTTCTGCACAGGTGCCAGAAGAGGGAGTAAAGTGAGGGTGAGGAGGAGGCCGAGGGCTGGAGGAGTGACAGGGAGAGACGTGGCCAAGAGGGAGCTCTGAAGCATGTCTTAGGAGGGTGGCCGGGAACAGAAGGCAAGGCCAAGGTGTCACTAATGTAGCGTGTGGGCGGGCCTTTGGCATTGGGAGCGGGAAGGGAGGGTCCACCCACCAGCAAGCCCCATGGCCTTAAGCACATGGGCGTGAGCAGACCGGGCAGAGATGAGATGCTGCTGCAGCAGGAAGCGGGCGACCTCCACGATGGAACTGAAGGAGCGTTTCAGGATTCGTTCAGCCCAGTCACAGGTCAGGGCGCAGGCTGCCTCCACCAGCTCATCTCGAGGTGCAGGGGTGACTTCTGGGCCCATTTCCGGCTATGGTTAGGAAGGACACAGCCATCACACTCCAGGTGTGACCGGGTGACCCTTGCCCCCTCTCTGACGTTACTCTTGGCCAAGCTGAGACCTGAGTAGCCTTTACCTATCCCATCCCAGAAACCCACAGATCCCCCTCATGCTCTGCCTCAACCAGAAGGCAGGCAGAAGGTACTAGAAGCTGTGCACATAATGGCCCATGCCGTGTTAGCTCTCAAAGCACGCCCCAAGTCCTCAGACTTTCCACCAAGGAGAGAACAGAGCTGGAGGGTCATTTTGTTACTTACGGTCTCAGAACCCTTAAGGTCGAGCCCAGGCAGGGGTGGCATGGACACCAAGGTCTTTCTTCGTATGCCACTGTAGCAGTATCTGATGCAAGTTAAGGTGCAGCCAACGCCTGGTGCGCCTGAAGCCCCTTAGCCAAGTTGGGCTGTTCCCAGGCCCGGTTCTCCTCCCCAGCTGCTCCAGGCCCAACCTCTCCAGTCAAGGATACTTGGACTGGCCCCGGCCACCAAGCCTTCGGGCCTTGATGTCAGGGAAGATCTCTCGGATGATTTTGCCAAAGTTGGCTGTGCTGAGCGGGCGGCAACAGGCAAGACTCTCACAGTACTTCCTGAGCAAGTGGGGGGCAGAGTGGGAAGACACTCAGAGAAGGAGGCTGCGGGTAGGCTCAGAGGGTTCCTGGGAACCCTTTAGGAAGCCAGGGTCCCTGGGAACCCTATCAGGGCAAGGAGCTCTCCAGGGGAGGGGCCAGTCCTGTGCCCAGCAGCATACCCCCCTTCCCCTCCACCCACCGATAGGCATCATAAACACTTTGCTTGGGCAGACAGGTGTCCGTGTGCTCCTCCAGGTGGTTGCGGATCCACCTATAGGCATACATGTACTCCTCATTGCTGAGCGTGCTGGGCTCCGAGCTGCAGGAGAAGGAAAAGGGACAGGCATGACTGAGAACCCAGCACTCAACGCTGGCTCTCCCCAGACGACGACTCCAGTAGTCTGGATCCAATCAGTTCAGCCGGGATCCACCTTTCCCTGGTACCAAGCCCTTGATCGGGGACAAAAGTTAGGAGCCTTCCTGTCCCAGTGAGCCTCTCTCACTAAAGAATCGAAAACCCTACCCCCAAGCCTACCTTTTGTCTCCGGTGCTGGGCCCTGAGGGCAGCTGAAGGTAGAGATAGAGCTTGTCGTTGTCTGAGAATTTCTGTACATCTTGCTGGGGGTGGGGTCGGGGGTGACAGAGGCAGGAGAAATAATAAGGCCAAGCTGGACCTGATATAGGACCCTCTACCCCTCACCACAATGCCTAGTTGGCTTAGGGGTAGGACCGCAAAGACACCTCACTTTCAAGAATTCACTTGAGGCTGGGAGCCTGATGCCCACCAATACCAGCTCGCTACTGCCCAGCCCCAACACACTTACCAGGATTCCTTCCACTTTGTTTTGCACGGCCTTGCTGTAGGGAAGAGAGGAAAAGGCTGGAGGTCACCCGCGAGGTTTTCCCCCACCCCTCTGTCAGCTTGCTGGGAAGGGAAGAGAACTCAGACACCTCGCAGGTGCTGGACAATCGCTCCCAGAGGCAAGAACCTCGCTTGTCCTGCTCAGGGGCACTTGGGGAAAGCCAGATGGTTCTCCAGCCCGGTCTGCAACGGGGTTTGGAGATGGGTACTTACGAAATGGTACCTCGGAGCCTCTGGAGAAGGGTGGTAGGCTCCCCAGCCTCAGCTCCACCTGTGGAGGCCCGGCCCCCAGTCTTGGGGCTCTTGGCATCCGGCTCATCTTCAGCCATGCCGGCATGAGGGCTAGGGGCGACAGGGGGGAGAGGGTGGTGAGACTGAACCCCTGTTGGCCAGCCCTTGCCCTGGACACCCCCAGGGCGCTCCTGATCTCAACAAAACCCGCAGATCCCCCTGATGGTCTTTCCCTCACCACCTACCTGGCCTTCTCCGAAAATTAGAAATCAATCCATGGCTTCGCCAGGCCCATCTACGTACCTAAAGAGAACTCCATGCTGTCTGCACCCACCTCTCTCAAGTCTCCTAAACCCAGGAGGCCGTACGGGAAGAGGCAGGGGGATTGGGAGCTGCCGTTAGAAAGACACTGTCATTTCTGCCTCTCACCCCAACCTGGCCTCCTCTCCCTCAAAAGCAACGAGGACCACTAAACAAAGTTCCCTGTTTCTCTCTTGGATACGCTCCTCACCAGCGCGTCGGCTCGGGAGGTCGGAAAGAATCCGGCCGTCCTCTGGCCTTGCGGGCTTGAAAACCAACTGGGCCCGGGTTTCCATGACTCAACCTCGCCACGGCCCGGCTGCCGCTCCCCCGGCCCCGGCGTCCTCTCCCCTAGCCTCGCGGCTCGCGGCGCGCCCCCCACCGCCCGCCCGGCCGCCGCGCCCCGGGCCCCAGCAGCGGCCGGGCGGGGGGCGCAGGGCCGCGGAACTCGGGGGCCGGCCGCGGGAAACCCGGGTCCGCGGCACGTGCAGAGGGGCGAAGAAGCTGTTGGAAACACAGCCCGGATCTCTTCCAGCTCTGCTCCCGGCTCACGTCGCCCCTCCCCAGCCCCGGGCCGGCGCCTGCCAACACGCGCCACGATAAAGGTGAGGAGAAAGAGAAACTACCTCGCAGCCACCTTCACTCCAGCCCAGCCCCGCGGTCCCGGCCCGGCGGGCTCGTGCGTTGCTTTATTTTCCTTTTTCTGAATGGTCGCGGCGGCCGCGATCTGCCTAGATACACGGGCGGCCTGCTCCGTCATTGGCCGTCGCTGCCGCCCGGAGACAGGGGGCGCAGGGCGCGCGCCGGCGGCAGCCGAAGTCTGCCTGGCAACAGAATCTGATTGGTCAGCAGGGGAGGGAAAATCCAAAGTTGGGCTTATTTGAGTCAAGAGGGGGAAGTCCGGGTTGGGTTTCGGTTAAAACTGGGGTCGGTTGGGACCGTCGGTCCCGAGAGGTTCTTCTCTTAAAGGGACCGCAGGACGGAAGCCCGGGCGCTCGGCTCCCCGCGGAGATTTCGCTTCTGTGGCCGCGTCCTCCCGTGATTCGGTTTTGCTTTCAGCTGTCAGAGCTGCCAGGAGGAAATAAGCAGTGGAGGGTAACGTAAGTGGCAAAGTATGGGTAGCAGAGATGGACGTTCGCGCTAAGCTCACGCAGCCCCCTGCTGAAGGGAGAGGCACCGAGCCCTCCCGCACCGCGGCGGCCGCGCCACGTGAAGCTGCAGCCGCTCCCCCCTTCGTGCTCCCGGGCTCCCCGCGTGTGCATCATTTCCTTGCAAAGGCAGGCTGATGCCTCTGCAGCCCCGCAGTTCAGCACTCAGCCACTGACTGCCGCAGCGGGTGCGGGCTGCCCACGGAAAACTTTTCAGCCCCGCAGAGCGCTGACCCGAGTGCGGCAGGGGTTCTCAGGCCTCTTCGTTAAGACTTTGTTAGGCACGAATCAGATGGAAGCAGTGACCCCTCTGTGCGCACAGACCAAGCTTTTGCATCGCGTTTCAGAGAGCTCACGCTCTCGGGTTGGCAAGTGGATGGAGTTTGCTTTGCACAGCAGATGGGTTACACTCGGAGCTGCGTTTGCAGCCTTGACTTCTAGCACGTTCTCCAGGCGCATCACCAACGTGCTTTTGAGAAGGAGACGGCAGTGCTGCCAGCTCCTGTGGTACTGGGGGAACCCAGCGGGGATTAGGATATACTGGCAAGAAGGTTTCCTGATGACTTCTAAAACTTCTTAGGTGTTCACTGGGTGTCAGGCACTGCACCAAAGCTCACAGCTGCTCATAGCAGCTCTCTGAAGTGGGCACAGTAGGCTAGCTTAAAAATTTGCAGGTGATGGGGGATAGATGGGAAGTTTTAGTAAAAGAAGAAACTATATCGTAGCTACACAAAGGAGATTATTGTTTTAAAGATTAATTTTTTAGGAGTTTATTTATTTATTTGAGAGGTAGAGTTACAGACAGTGAGAGAGAGAGAGAAAGGTCTTCTTTCTGTTGGTTCACTCCCCAAATGGCCGCCACGGCTGGAGCTGTGCTGATCCAAAGCCAGAAACCAGGTGCGTCTTCTGGGTCTCCCATGTGCGTGTGGGGGCCCAAGCACTTGGGCCATCTTCCACTGCTTTCCCAGGCCATACCAGAGAGCTGGATTGGAAGAGGAGCAGCCAGGACTAGAACCGGCGCCCATATGGGATGCTGGCACTGCAGGTAGAGGATTAACCTACTGTGCCACATTGCCAGCCCCTAAAGATTTATTTTATTTATTTGAAAGACAGAGTCACAGAGAGAGGTAGAGACAGGGAGAGAGGTCTTCCATTCGCTGCTTCACTCCCCAGATGGCTGGAGCTGCGCCAATGCGAAGCCAGGAGCCAGGAGCTTCTTCCAGATCTCCCAGGTGGGTGCAGGGGCCCAAGGACTTGGACCATCTTCTACTGCTATCCCAGGCCAGAGTAGAGAGCTGGATTGGAAGAGGAGCAGCCAGGACTAGAACTGGCGCCCATATAGGATGCTGGCGCTTCAGGCCAGGGTGTTAACCTGCTATGCCACAGAGATTATTTTGCTAGCTCACCTTCACAGGTGAGCCTGAGTGGGGCAAAGGCTAGAGATAGGAAAGACAGGCACTGACTTATTTCTCCCAGGCATTGGCGCTAAGAGCCAGAGACACAAAACTGCATCTCAGGTCAGGTCCTCGCCCTGTGAAATAACAATAAAAATGGTCTGAAACACATCATCATAATAGCAGATGCTTCCAGAGAGCGTGAGGCAAGCTCTGTGTCATAGAGGTCTCTCCTTTGGGCTGGGTTGTTGTAAGGGCTTTACACACATTACCTACCTGTCTATCTCATAGCAGCTCTATTAGGTAGGGGCTGTGACTGGTCCCCTTTCACAGCCAGAGACTGAGGCAATTGGAAAGTTAGTAATTAGCCCAAGGTTACACAAATAGTAGGGGATGGAGCCAGGATCTGAATTTAGGCTGTCAGGATTCAGAATTTTTTCTTAGGGACTTTTGCCTCATGGTACCTCTGAAAATCAGATGGGTCACCACCAGCTCTACTGCAAAAATTCAGCCAGGGTTCTTGCTCTTGCCACGTCGGCTCAGACTGGCCTGCTCTAACCAAGAAATATGGCCTTGAGGCTAAGGTTGTGGCATAGCAGGTAAAGCTGCCACCTTCGATGCCTGCATCCCACATGGGCGCTGGTTTGAGACCTGGCTGCTCCACTTCCAATCCAGCTCTCTGCTAATGCACTTGGAAAAGCAATGGAAGATGGTCCAAGTGCTTGTCACCCAATGGGAGACGCAGAGCAAGCTCCTGGCTCCTGGCTGTGGCCTGGCACAGCCCTGGCTGTTGCAGCCATCTGGAGATTGAACCAGTAGATGGAAGATCTCTCTGTCACTCCCTCTCTCTGTAACTCTATTAAATAAATAAATAAATCTTTTTTAAAAAATACATTATAAAAAGAATACAAAGGCAAGCTATAAATCGGGGGAAGATATTTTCAAGACATGTAACTGACAAAGGACTATTTTCTGGGGTTTATGAAAGTCTCTTACAGGGGCAGGCATTTGGTGCAGTAGTTAGTCTCTGCCAGAGATGCCCGCATTCCACGTTGGAGCCCCGGCCTCCACTTCTGATCCAGCTGATGCCCACCTTGGGAGGCAGCAGGCAATGGCTCAAGTACTTGGATTCCTGCCACCCATGCAGGAGACCTGGACTGAGTTCCAGGCTCCTGGCTTCAGCCTGGCTCAGCCCTGGCTGTTGTAGGCATTTGGGGAGCAAACCAGCTGATGAAAGATCTCTCTCTGGTCTGTCTCTGTCTCTCTGCTCTTCAAATGGATGAATAAATAAATAATTAATTTAAAATAGACCTCTTACAAAGGAAAAGATAAACAACGAAATTTTTAAAATTTGTGATTCATTTTATTTTTCCCCCCATAAGAAGTTAAGGAATACAAACTTCATACATTTTGTAATTACAACTTTACAAACATGGTGATTCTTCCCACCGTACCTGCCCTCCCACCCACTCTCCCATCTTCTTCCTCCTCCCTCTCCTATTCCCATTCTTATTTTTTTTTTACTAAGCTCTATTTTCAATTAACTTTATACACATGATTAACTCTATGTTAAGAGTTCAACAAATAATACGAAAAAAAACAAAAAACAAAAAACTTCCTCAGTAGTCCAGACAAGGGCTATTCAAAGTCATTGCTTCTCACAGAGTCAATTTCATTTCTATAGATTTCCTTTTAGATGCTCTATTAGTTATTACAGGTCTGGGAGAACAAATGGTATTTGTCCTTTTGGGACTGGCTTATTTTACTAAGTATGATGTTTTTCAGTTTCATCCATTTTGTTGCAAACGACCAGATTTCACTTTTGTTTTTTTTTTTCCCCACTGTGTAGCATTCCATGATGTACATATCCCATAATTTCTTTACCCAGTCTTCAGTTGATGGGCATTTGGATTGATTCCATATCTTAGCCATTGTGAATTGAGCTGCAATAAACATGAGGGTATAGCTAACTCTTTCATGTGCTGATTTCAGGCACAGCAGCTTTACCTGCTATACCACAGCGAAGGCCCCAAGTACATATTTTTTTTAAAGATATATTTATTTATTTGAAAGTCAGAGTTACACACAGAGAGAAAGAGAGGCAGAGAGCGAGGTCTATTCCATCCACTGGTTCACTCCCCAATTGGTCGTAATGGCTGGAGCTGTGCCAATCCAAAGCCAGGAGCCAGGAGCTTCTTGTGGGTCTCCCACGCGGGTAAATTCCTGGGAGTGGGATGGATGGGTCATATGGTAGGTCTATATTCAGATTTCTGAGGTGTCTCCTTACTGATTTCCACAGTGGCTGTACCAGTTCACATTCCCACCAACAGTGTATTAGGGTACCAAAAAACACCACATCCTCGCCAGCATTTGTTTGTTGATTTCTGTATGAAAGCCATTCTAACGGGGGGGTGGGTGGGGGGGGGTGTGAGGTGAAACCTCACTGTGGTTTTGATTTGCATTTCTCTGATGGCTAGTAATCCTGAGCATTTTTTTCATGTGTCTATTGGCCATTTGGATTTCTTCTTTTGAAAAATGCCTGGCCGTCACAGTGGCTCACTAGGCTAATCCTCCGCCTTGTGGTGCCGGCACACCGGGTTCTAGTCCCGGTCAGGGTGCCAGATTCTGTCCCAGTTGCCCCTCTTCCAGGCCAGCTCTCTGCTGTGGCCCGGAAGGCAGTGGAGGATGGCCCAAGTGCTTGGGCCCTGCACCCCATGGGAGACCAGGAGAAGCACCTGGCTCCTGCCTTCGGATCAGCGCGGTGCGCCGGCCACAGCGCACCAGCCACGGCGGCCATTGGAGGGTGAACCAACGGCAAAAGGAAGACCTTTCTCTCTGTCTCTCTCTTTCACTGTCCA